AATTTCCACGCTTGGTAGCAGGGAGTTGCTTGATAATAAAATCGTATACTCGACCCTTTGATTTTTTCTCACCAATTCCATCATTGATCATAAAATCTTTAACCATGCTTTTGAATCTTTTAGCATAGAAACACCAACACAAAATTTCTTTTCGATTAGCTTCGATTGCGTCTTTTTCTGCATCGCACGCATTTTGATATAGACAGATAATATCTTGGGTCTCTGAGTCTTGTGTTATTCCGGAATTGTCACAATTTGGACGAACATTGTTCGCTGAAATTTTGATCGTATTATTTATTTCAGGAGAAGGGATACTTTGTGTTTGTTGCTTGATAGATGTTGATATTTCTTGTATTAAACCTTGCTCACGTGGAATATTAGGTGTATTATTCTCAGGAGTCAAGGGCGTCTCTTGATCCCGAAGTTTCATTTCCCTAATTCTCTCCATTATCTCTTTACTAACTTGTTCCTTATACTGCAAATTCATAAATTCATTTTCTTCCTTCTCTTCCAATAATATAGTTTTTGCAGGAATGGGAGACGTGGGGGTTGACGAATCCTGATATATATCAGAGTTGCCGGAGGTAGTCACTTTGTCGCTAGATGTGTTATCAGATATATTAGATGTGGGGATATCATCCTCTAACAATTTGGAACTAGTACCAGTAGAGCTGGCATGGGCGATACATTGGCTTATAACATTACTTTTAGAGAGGACTATCTGTTCAGGGATGTACCTATTACTGTTTTGCGAGTTCTGTTCCTTAATTAGCGAGACATCGTGTTTCAGTTTAGCAATAAGGTCAGTTTTTTCTCTATCTCTCTGCTCTAAATTCAAGAATCTGGCTTCAACCTCTTCTTTGTCTTGTTTTAATTTTGTATTCTCGGATTCAAGATTGGCGCACTTCTTTCTAAGCTCACTAATTTCGAATGTAAGCTTGGTATTTAATTCTCTTAACGAAATAATTGTAGATTGCATATCTGTCATCATTTTATATAGGGTGCGAATATATTCAATTCTTTATCATAAAGATTTAAATTCACGTAACAAGAATCGCTGGATTAAATACAATAAATAAAATTGCCAAGAAATTTCAGCGAACAATGTTCGTCCAAAAATGCCAAGAAAAAATAAAAATAAATTAAGAAAAAAATTTTATTAATATATAATCATCTAACCCGACTCTTCTACGAGATTACTCGATGACCTGTGCTTTTTTACTACCCTCAGTTGCCCATCGCTCTGTAAATCTTCCACCGGTTTCTGTGCCTCCTCTAATAACCAAGCAATATGTCCTAGAACCCTTTCAACCATACCCTCCGTATCATCACTGTTATACACTACGACTACTGGTTTTGATAGTTTGAATTTGGGCCTTTCTAGATTATCGAACGAACATTCCAAAAAATACCATTCTTTTGCATCCGTCACAATTCCGAACACCTTACCCACAAACACACCTTCCTCTATCTCGCTGGCCTTACGCTTACGGTTTGATAAAGCGGACTCGAGTTGAACAGCATTCTGAGCAATGCCCTTATAAAAATCTTCGTCTTTTACTTCAGTCACGCCAACACTTTTTGCGGTTTTGAGCAAATCTATTGCGAAATCGACTGGCCCGTGACCATTGGGCCCTGTTATGTTTTTCTCTGGTCGAAGCTCAAACTTACCGACAAGGTACGAACAAACATATTGCAATTTTGATGCTTCATTTCCACTGATTGGAATGGTCTTGAGACGAGCATCCAGCTCAGCTATAAGATGTTTAAGTATTGCCCGGGATACCCGCAAGTGAAAGGTGGGAAAACCGATAATGATGGATCGTCTGATTCGCCAAGTCCATAAAGCTGACATACTTTTGGGAATGTCCAATCCGAGAATGCCTTTGAGGGGGTCTCTATGAACACGGTAAACTTGAGGTTATTCTTTGATACCAGCAACCGGAGCATTTCGCACAATGCTTAGTCGTTTCGAGGTGAGTATTTCCCACTGTCGCATACAACGTTGAATACCGCTCCATCATTTTCAAGAGCTGGTGTTTGATACACAGCACGTATAGAATCTTTGAGAGCTTCGAGAGTTGCATGCTCGATATTCACCGTCCACTTGAATCTCTTCGTCCGCTTTGGACTCACGATAACGTCGAACTCTGCGATACAAAGGTTTGGCTAGTAAAAAAATTTTGCCAAGAAAAATTTTTGCCTCACTGGCATATAGTGCTTATACATATTATTTGAAACACGTACCATGGACGGACTTGTTAATCGATGCCTCCAACGATGCGATGCGGTCAAGTAATTCCTGCTCACGACTCGAAGTGGTGGTTGATACGAGTGGTTCGACTATAACATGAATACATTCTTCGGCTGGCGTGACAGGAAAGTATTTCGAAATCTTTTTCATTGCAAGGAGTTCGTCATCTAATGGGGGGTTGGCTAATTCGGAATCGTGATCGTCAGGAATTTCTACCTTCCACAGCTTGAGTTTGTCGGCGTCAACATTGGCGAAATCATTCTGCTTCTCCACCTTGATAACTTTTTTGAGCTCACTAATAGGCTCATCCCTATTTATTTTAACAGAGAAAGCGTTCACGGGTGTGTTTCCTTTGACAAGACAATAAAGTAATGGACATTTCGAGATATATGTATTCGGTAGAAATTTTTCCGGGTGATCGCAATCGGAATTTTGGTCATAGTAACAACCACGATTACATTATGCATAAAAAGTTCCATAATCTTCTTTGATATAGCATGTGATGTGTTGATCGAACATCTGTGTTACGCAATCAATAGTAACGATCAGGGGTACCCCAACAATTAACAGGTCACGCATTAACTCTGGCAAAAGTGATCGGCAAATCCAGGGAGATACTTTTTGGTACTTCCGTTCATTAAAGAACACAGATCAAAGACAAGATTATTATAAAAAGAAATTAATCAGGTTAGTTAAAAGATCAATTGATTTGTAATAATTGTTTGCGGAGCAGGACACCTCGTATCAAAAATTGGTGATACGAGTAACAGACGTCCGATTGCTAATGTCAATAAGGTAAGAGTAGACAATTATTGATCTAATTAACAGGTAAAATGTGGGGGTACTTATAACTTATTTTGAAAATAAAGGTGCTTACGTACCTGAGTCGTCCCTATAAATCTGCTTTGCAATAAAAGTTCTGGCAATTTCTCGTCCGTTCCCGTCCAAGTCTATAAATAAATTTTGATTTGTAATTTTTATATAAAAAGGCTGTGAAAAAATATCTGAGACCCTTTACTCCTTCATTATAATAATTAACGATTTTGGAGAATAAAACATTTAACAAATTTTAGCCTTGTGAGCTCCACTAATAAATCTTACCCTCGATAAATAAAAAGCTTCATACACTCAAAATGTATCTAATTTCTAACGATTAAGGTTTGTTTATGCTATGACACTTTCCCCACATTCGTGTATATATGCTAATAGACCAACTCTCACTTATAGATGACATCACTTGCAGTTTCGGGGATCGCTCCATTTTTGGATTTCGCCGGCCTATTGATGTTCGTCAGAAAATCTTCATTTACTTGGTCATTGGCGCCACGTTTTATTACGGAGTAATGGCTCTAAGAGCCTATTTTTCACGTATCACCAAGCAAGACATCAACATCAAGCATAGCCACTGTGTGACTGCCTCCGGCAATTCGGACCCTTCTGCACGTGATACCACGTTTAATGAATTTCTTGCCAATTGTGATGCCAGGTTCTTAACCGAACTCACCGATTACCGTGCAAAATTTAATACTGAACTTACCTCACGCGACGAAAACTTTATAGCGGAGATCCAAAGAATCTTGACAATGCTTAATACTTCTACTGTGAGACTTGATGAGATCGAACAAGTTCCGAGAACAGTTTCAGGCTATCTTTGATAGAATTAAGGGTGCGAATGATTATACATTCGATCAGATGTGTAATGTTGTATCGGCTGATATTCTTAAGCTTGGGATGGGAGCAATTGGAAAAGATACAATAAAGAGTTTTTACAATGGGGGTAATATAAGAAGCGAAAACTTAGAAAAGATAGGTGCTTGGATAGATAACAGTTACACCACTACTGAGTAGCAGGAAAGGAACTGCCATTATATGGGTTAGGGCTCGGCAGGCTTAGCAAGCAGGTGTTTTTATGCCTTTCCTCCCTTGAAACATCCTGCTACTCTATAATTTTTACTTAGCCGACCTCTAACTCTCTCAATATATTCATTTTAAAAAAATCAAAGATATGGTTTTAATTATTGTATACTGAGTTGTCTTTTGTGTCGCTGGCTATTATTATTTCTTGGCAAAAGTGATCGGCGTGACAATTTGACACGCACTCGTTATTAACACAAGAAAAAATATTTTGGATTTGTCTACACTTGAAATAGATATGCAACGATAACAATCCAATCTGCACTAAAATTGAATCGTATTATTCTAGAGTATAAAGTTATTAAATCAAATAGGTAAGTCTAAATATCCCAATCGATAAATATGTCTGGTTTTGATATCGCTACTATCATTGATAAAAAAGATAAAACACTTCCTAAACCATATATTAATCGTCCCGGTTTTGATATGAAGTATGCTGTATCATATATATTACATTATGGTGGAACTTATGCTAATAAACTCAATCAAATTTTCGATAATGAGAGATTATTTGATACATTATCTATCATAAAACAGAATGAAACACCGGTTCAATGGGCAATACGAGTCAGAGTACCTTTACAGAATTTATTAAATGCCGGGAAATTTAGTGTATATCACCGGCTATGTTTATTCGCATCGTTTGGTAAAGGTAAATTTGTCAATTTCAATTATTATAGACCAAGAATCCATAAAAGTCATGTGGCTATTTGTTTTGGTTGCTGGAAACTCGTAAAAATCGATAATGTGAATCCTAAAAAAATATTCCATTTTACTAGACAGAGGTATGTTGACTATCTCGAACCTAAAGACCTGATGCAGAAACATTGGGATCATGAATGCAATAAACCAAAGACTAATTTTGGAAAAGCAAGAATTATACAAATAGCTTATCGAAATTATAAGAATAGACCCGAATCAATAGCAACCCAAGCTTGGAATTCTCTAAAGACAGATAATTATCCTAAGGATAAGAAGTTTTTAGGCATAACTCCTCAAAAAGTAAATCATTCTAATGGTTATGGTTACATTGACTATAATGGAAAACGATTATGTTGGCATTTCAAAAGTCCTAAATTGTGGGCAGAATCCAAGAAACGTCTTTTAACATATAGACTATACGACTATGTGGTAAATTTATTGCAACAGAATGGATACAGATTAATTGGTGGTAGGTCTTGGTATGTGATGTTACGATGGGTGGAGAATCCTAATCAATACCTTAATAATGGGTGTCGAGACTTTGCCAGAATATAACTTATTCATATCTTTAAAATAAATCATCTGAAGTATTTCTGAGGGGTAGTACTTTAGACTTTATTTCGTTATCTTTCCTAAAGGAAAGCTGGTAACATTTTACTTTGATTTTTTCATATCAACCTGTTTTATGGGACACAAAAATCCCTAGTGTTGATAGACCCAAAGGGTCATTGCTTCGCAATAATAGATCGCGCTTGTTATTATTATTTCAAAGAAATGGCTCTTCGAGCCTACACATCTACTTAAATTTCACATCGGCTGGAGACGATCAGCTCCTTAATAGAAGTGGCTAATAAGATGTATACTATATTGTTGTATTAATAAATAACGGAAAAATAATTATTTGATGTCAAATCCCAGTTTATTCATCCAATGTCAAAATTTTATCCCACCCGACACGTATTCTATGCGGATGCTCGGAAGGTACACTTAGATCAAAGACGATAAATTTCTGTTCACATAAATGCTTGTTAATAATTTTATAATAAATGCGCCAGTCGTTAACATATAAACGAAGTATTCTGCTTAACTCATCTGAGGTACA